AGGAAAAGTGAAAGCTGGTGAAGATGTAATTAAACAAGGAGGCCATGTTCCAGCCCCAATAAGTAGCAGAACTTGGAAGATTCAGCCCCATGGTTCTGGCTTTAGAGTTAAGGATAGAAGAAAGGAGTTATAGAACAAAGCTACTGATGCCAGGCATGAGTCAGGGGTGTCCAATGCATGAAGCTGTGAAGTTGAAGCCTGGATTGCTTTGGAGACCCCAAAATGTTGGAGATGCCAGAGTTGTGGGATGCCTGATGAGGAAAGCTGCTAACAGGGAGTGGAACCAGCCCGAGAGAGAGAAATGTGTTGTAGTTGAAAGGAGTTGGAGATCTGAAGAGCACTTTAGCATCAGACACAGAGAAGCAGTGTTTGGAGTTTTTCAGCTGTTTTTGGTCTTGCTTTGGTCCAGTATTTCTTCACTATACTCCCTTCCCTATGTTTTTGGAATGATAATGTATATCCTGTGCTATTATTATCTGTTGAAAGTATGTGATCTAATTTTTATTTTTATTTTATAGGGGATTACAGTTATAAAACTTTGAACTTGAGATTTAAATAAGTTTGAGACTATTACAGACTATGGGAACTTTTGAAGTTGGACTGAATGCATTTTTGCTTTATGAGGGCCAGTACTGGTTTGAAAGAAAATGGCCTCCAAAGGAAATGGCACTATTAGGAGAGTGGCCTTATTGGAGTAGGTGTGGTCTTGTTGGAGGAAGTGTGTCACTGGGGGGTAGGCTCTGAGGTTTCCTATTCTCAAACTACACCAAGTGAAACGGACCACTTCCTATTGCCTGCAAGTCAAGATGTAAGACACTCGGCTACTTCTCCAGCACCGTATCTGCCTGTACACCACCATGTCACACTATGATGATAATGGACTAAATCTCTGAAAATGTAAGCCACCCCAATTAAATATTTTTCCTTTATAAGAGTTGCCATGGTTATGGTGCCTCTTAAAAGCAATTGAAACCCTAACTAAGACAGGTCAGAACTTTGGTTGTCTAGACTCTCAGACCTACTACCTTGCTCTGGCTTCCCATGGTCATCAACTGTCCTCACACTCAGGCTGACCACACAGGTCAGGCAGGCTCAGCTAACTCCCCCCACAACCCAATGTCCCTGGCTATCCTCAGCCATCCTATACATAAGTACTTCCAGCTATCTGCCCTACAACTCCTGTCTCACCCCTTAACTGTTATCTACCTGCAACGTATTAAATAAGAACACAATTTATATCTCCTGAATATCTTGAACCTGAACATATCATGGCTCAAAGCAAAGACAAGTAACACTTTCCTAGGGAACCAATGTCTTTTCTAGACAGGAAGAGCGAGAATGGCCCCATGAGGGCATGCCACACTTACTTCAGATATACTCTAACAAATGGCTCAGGTCAATTATCTACCTCAGAAATGCCTCTCCCCTCACACACCAATCCCCAAAGTTCCTTTCCCAGGGGCTGTGGTGGGACTTCCTTCACATAGGGAAAGAATGCAGCTCACTTGGGACCTGTCTTCTTTCCAGCACCCACCTGATACTCCCACCCCATCCTCTTGTTCTTGCTGGCCTCTTTGCTTGGACAAGAAGATAAGTCTTTTTTGGCAGGTAAACTGTTTTAATAACATAAGGCTTCTCATGACAATGAGATATGTCTGCTCCTGGGAGCAACAATCTACTTCAGAGAAGATGATGGTTTGAGAGCTAGCCATCCAAAGAAAGACCAACTACAGATCTCAGTTATTCACATGGGCTGAGATTGAAGCTAATACTTTGCCAAAAAGTCTGTTCCTAATCCACATTTTTTATGTTTATAAGTTGGATAACAGTACTGAAGTGTCTGTCTACATAGAAGATAAGTCTTTTTCCCTCTCTGTCTGCTAACATCTGTCAGCAATCCAGATAGCACCTGGTCCCAGTTATAGTCAAAGCTTCCTCCAGCCATGGGCAAGCAAATCATTTGTCCCCATCCCATCTGTCATGACCGTAATGACCACGTTAAGCACATGTATGACAACTTTCATAATACAGACTTATGATAAGTGACAGGGTCATTCCAAGTGAAAGAGATTAACAAAGTATATTTAAACAAGTAACAAGGAAGTTATCAATACAGCACTAAGAAGACCTCCATTGTTCTCTTGGCATAACTCTCTCTGTCTTCAAGTATGGAAGTTTGTATAGTCTTCATCTTCCTCTCTGCCTTTCCTGTCTCTTGCCCCCTCCCTCTGTCTGGAATTGGAGCAATGTAACTCAGTGCTCTACAAGTATATGCTGCATGGAAGCCACACACATTCTCACTGTGATCCTCTTACAGTGGGATGAGCATCTCCATTTGTTTTGCTGCCTTTTCATTACTGCTTCTCATTTTATTGTTGGCTATAAATGTTTCTTTCAGTAGCAGCCTAAGCCAACTATTTTTCCTGAGGTAAAAATATTTCTACAGCCACCTAGAAGACTCCATCTGGAGAAAGGAATAGCAATTCTGTCTTCTAATCCAAACCCAAGAACTAGGGCTTCTGGCCCGGCTCACTGGAGCAGAGAAACACTCCCTGGACCATTTCCAACTCAGTGATTTTGGGCAGTGAGACTTCAGAGGGGGGCCCAAGGTGGCTGTGCTGGTGACCCTGAATCCTCTTAGCTCTAGCATCTCTTGAGTGATACTCATAGTCACCTCATTCACTACCAGCTCTCCCTAGAGGACCCCAGTTATGCACATGGGACAGCTGTTTCAAGGTCTCAGTACCCAGGAACTGTGGGCATTCAGCTCACTTTATGTATACATGAAGTTCATTGCACCAACTGAACTGATAATCTGTCTTGCTTCCAGACTTGACGAGATGCCTTAAAACACCCATCGAGCAAAAGACTGGGTTAACCTGCCAGATCTACCAAAGACAGAATGGTGGGCAGAGCCATAAAAATACCCTGAGAAAGTGGAGCAGCAGGCATGAGTCACACACCTCAGGTCCAAGCACATTATCTCTGTTTCTGAAGAGCAAGACAGTAAGAGGAGTTCTTTAGCACATCCCACCTCTATGTCTGTGCTGACAGGTGTCTGGAAACCATTCGTATCTCAAGTTAAATGACAGTGAGACAAGCCAGGCATGTTCATTCCATGAAGTTCAGCCTAATAACTCTGTTCTCAGAAACATCCTTTGCCTTCGTCCTGGGCAGCTGGCTTCTTCCCTCGGCCCACAAGCCCTCCCTCTGAGCTGCATTAACTAGCCTTTGATAAGTCCTTATGTGTCAATGCAATCCTGAGGTTATTTCTGTTCATTTCATGTCTTCAAACAGACTCTGGAATAGCTAAGACTCTTGTTTGCCAATGCCTTCCCATATCTTCTAGCACAGTGATGTAGACCACTGTCCCCTGAACACACCAGTCCCTATCATCTTCAACAGAGCAGCTGTGACTGCTTGCAAGAGACCCTCAAGATGCAGCCCAATGACTGCTGTCCTCTGCTCTCTGAAGGAAGGACCAGGGTCATTGGATTGAACCTGAGAGCCCAGCCATTCCCTCCTGTATCTTCATGTCAGCTGAATGTAATTCTGTTCTAGCTGCAAGTGGCCTTGTGATCTTGAAGGTACTGGGGTATCTAGAAAGGAGACAGTTCAGTGAAATCAGGGAAGGACTCTGCCTATGCAGCCATGAAAAAGTTGTTATTCATTCCAGGGTGCACAGGCATCACCTCCATTCCTGTAACTAACCCCTATCCCATGTTCTGTACTCACTGGTTTAGCAAGTTGGACTTCGGTGAAAGCAAATTTTGTCATTTGTGCCCTATCTGAGGTGAACAGGCATTTGCTTATGTGTCCCCAGGACACATGCAATGCGCATGCTGGGTATGAACAAGAAACAGGTTTCAGAGACAGTGAACCCATTCAGGTGCTGCCCTTTTGCTGTCCTTGTGGGTGTGTTGCAGACAGCATGCGCAGGCTGACACTGCTCAGAGTTACAAACTCTGGGTCCATCTGACAAAAGTCACATTTGATCACCATTCCATGTTACTTATGCTCAGGTTCCTAAAAAACACCAATTATATGTTCTGAGGCCTGGCTGTACAGAAGCACAGGACAACTTCTAGGACATGTCTGCTAAGGATTCGACTTTTGTGTCTGAGGGGACTCACGTGTAGATGTTTTATAAATTTCCCAGGTCACTCTAGTTGACAACCAAGACTGAGCTAAGAATCTAAATATTGACAGACCTAGCCCTCTACATATACGTGAAAGTTATATAGCTTGATCTACTTGTGGGACTCCTAGCAGTGGAGCTGGGCCTGTCCCTGACGCTTTAGTAGGCTTTTGGGAACCAAATCTTCATATTGGGTTGCCTTAACAAGCCTTAATATGAGGGGAGGAGCTTTAGTCCGACCTCAACTTGATATGCCATGCTTTGTTGACACCCATGGGAGGCTTGTCCCTTTCTGAACAGAAAGAGAAAAGGAGTGGATTTGGGGGGGGGACACAGATAGGAAGTTGGGGGAGGGAATGAGAAGAGGGAGGGAAACTGTGGTTGGTATGTAAAATAAATGAATAAATTTAATAAATAACTTTTTAAAAAGAATCTAAACATTGTGGTAGGAGGTAATAGTGCTGTATAGTGTCACATGACTCAGTTTCCCTATCAACAAGAAAAGGTAATCACAGTCCCTACCCTTCTGGGCTCTCAGAAGGACCGAACACGTTGATGGAGGTCAGTTGTGGAACACAACATGCAGACCCATGGGAGGCCTTTCAGATCTCCTATGAGTGCCCTCTCACCTTCAAGTCCAAATTCATTAATATCCTTCAACCAGTGACCAGACTCAAACACACAGAGCCTTTAGGAACTAAAGGCTTCAAGGAGAAAAGCTCAGCTTTGAGCTCCATTTCAGTCATTTCCTAACAAAGGAGGCCTCATTTGGTTGCCCAGAGGAATCACACTTAGTGCTTAGCACTCATGCCTTGCTGCTCTTTGACCAAGTTGTGTTGGAAACCCCATACTCTGGTCTTACCTGGCGCATTTCCTTATAGTTGTGGTGCTTAAAATCCAGGTCGTCGGTGGTGGTCATCTCATTGCGTCGGTGATAATAGCTATTAGGATCTAAGGACAGAAAGATGGTTATGAATTCACTCACAGTCAACCATGACATACCTGCCAGGGGCCTGGTTTATGTAATGACAATGGAGCTAGAAAGCTGAACTTCTAATGTTGGTGCAGAGGCAAGAGCACCAAGCCAGCAGGAGGCACGTGGGAGTTGGAATTGTTTGGAAATTAAGAATGTACAAGGCCTGGGCTTAGATCTCTACTTTATGTGGTGTGACCTTCGACAACCACTTGAGCAGTCTGTGCATTACTTTTTCATCTGTAAGTGGGAAAAGAATGGTATCTCCTCACTTGGCTTACAGTGAACAGTAGAAGAGATACATGTGTGCTGGGGCCACTGTCCATATGAAACAAGTAGTTGTGAAGTTGTGCATCCTTGGAAATATTAGGAAACATGTACCCACTGTTAGTCTCTTAGCTGGAATGCCTTTCCTTCCCTTTTTCCTAACGGGAGCCCGGCATGTGAGAATTCCTCTCTTCTGACATCTTAGAACTCTCAGTCACTCTCTGACTGCTCCAGTGGAGGGGAAGCAAAGAGCACAGGGAAGGAGACAGTGAAAAATCTCTCTCCAGGCAAAGGATGCTAAAGCACTGCCCTGATTGTTGTGGTGGCCTCTTGACCATGAAGGAACTACCAGCACCACCTCAGTGACCAGCAGGACACAGAAGCCCATGACATCAAGAGTTCCTGGTCAGCCAACCCTGAAGCCATCCTTCTATGACATTTAGAACTAGAAGCACCTGTTACAGTTTCCATATGAAATGTTCCCATAGGCTCGTGTCCCCAGGAAGTGACATATCTTAAGAGATAGTAGAACATTTAGTAGGCAGGACTTAGCTATCGGAGCTAGGTCATGGAGGGGAGTGACTTTGAAGGTTCTGCCTGGTCTCCAGTCCCCTCCTCTCTCTTTACTTCCTGTCTACTATAAGGTGAAAAGCTTCCTCTACCACATGTTCCCAGGGCCACGGCATGGCGTTGTATCTCACCACAGGTCTAGTCAATGGAGCTAAGGACTGTGCTCCAGAAATCTCACGAGCTATGATCCAAAATCAATCTTTCTTCCTTGTAAGTTGTTTAAGACAAGTATTTTGTCACAAATATTAAAGTCTTACTGACACAGCAGCCTCACAGGTGTGATCAGAGTGTAGTAACAGAGGTGGCTCTAAGGACTAGGGTTCTTACTCAGGGACCACAGCCTGCTCTCCCTGGGTCCCTTTTCATTTAACTTGAATTTTCTTTTCAATTCCTATTGTGTTGTATACACTATTCCGAAATAAAGATGATACAGAAGAGAGAGAGCAGAGAGGAGGAAGAATATGAAGGGAAGAGACAAGAAGGGACCCTAGATCTGCCTTGTCCTTGTCTGAGGAAGAATGGCAAAGGCTTCCAGTCCTTGGTTATCATGCTGACATTTCCTCACTAGAGGATACAGTCAGAAAGTCTCAGTTAGCACAGACACCCCCACCTCCACCCCATGTGAGGAGCATCAGAACTTTGGAAGCCCACAACAGCTTGGGCTCCACTCAAGTGGCTCAAAGGCCCATTCTAGAAGCAGGGGGTTAGCAGCAGGACCCGTGAAATGTCAGGATCAGCAAGAAGCCATCTGGGCCCCCAATGTCCCCCGACTAGGAACACTGGCTGTTTAATAGACCTACCTCAGCCCTGCCAAACCAGATTCCACATTATAACAAAATCCTGGCTGACTCTGCAGGCTCTATGTGAGAGAAGCACCAAGCTGGGATCCCTAATAAATGACTTTAGCCTTGGAGACTGAGACCACATACAACAAATTAGGAGTTGCAAGAGGACTCAAACATCAAGAGTGTTAAATCTTCATGAAAGATCTAGCAATACCATAAGAAACAAGCAGCTGTCATGGAAGGTGATAGCTTGCAGGAGGAGACAAGCATTTTGTCCAGGCAAGAAAGTCAAGGCCATCTAGGCTCAGCCAAAGCCTCAGTTATTTCTCAAACACCTGCTTGGGGCATGGGATGTCCATGCCTTTGGAGAGAGCTTTCCAGGCCCATAGGTTCCAAAGCAAAGGTAAAGAGTGACAGTTTTTGGTTTTGGTTTTGATTTTGCATTTATTGACATTGACTTCAACTTGCTGTTTTCTGAGATCTATTCAGCACCCCCCACCCCACTTCAGGGGTGTCTCTCCAAAGGATCTGAAAGCCCCTTTTGTTTTCAAACACCAATTATGCCTTCAAGGTTGTGAAAAAGGTTTGAAGGAAAAGCTCAGAGCCCTAGGTACAAAAGAATGGTTGATCAGACAATAGCCTTCCTTCCTGGAGACTAGACAGCATGTTGAAGGATCCAGGATGAGATCCTGATGCCCAGTCTCCCATATTCACCAAATACTTCTTTGTCTTTGAATGAACAAAATCTCATTGAGAATTTCTTAGGAGTCTATCTCTCAGTTTTAAAAGTAAGAATTGAACTCAGAGCTCACGGTCAGTCTATCAGACATCTACTGCTATCCACGAAGTCCCTTTATCCAATCGGCACCTATTTCATGTGGTTCAGAGGAACTGTCTTGATGTATGAGCCCAGGTGCAAGCCTGTGACCCAGGTCCAGGCTATGACCCCATTTGCCCCAGCCAGTCACTATCTCAGAGATGATCCTGGGACAAGGCCCATGCTCTCAGTGCTGCTATCCCCAGTGGTCTTCAAAAGGAAGAAACTTGTGGCCCTCTCTCTCGCTGTCAGAACATTGCAACAATGGTCCTCAAGACACTGAATTCTCCCCAGGAATCTCATGCTAGGAAAGGGATAAGGCTAAATGAAGCCCTGTACCTGACAGAGGAGGCCCTCTCTCCTCCCAGAAAGAGATTTCACTTAGTTCGGAGCACTGCACAGCAGAGACTGGAGCCTAGAAAATGAAGGGTTGATGATGGGCAAGGTTTCACTTTGACCAGGAATGCTTAGAGTTGTGTGTCACTTCTGCCCTCTATTTAAATCTGAATCTCAAGTTAGGACCCATAAGATGGACTTGGGGGTTCACTGTAGCTCCTGGTCTATTTTTCCCAGTATGGTCACAATAACTCCTTTCTCTGCATTCCACTATGGCTTGCATACCCATATTGCTTGTCTCTTTTACAGGAATAGTGAGCATGAGTAACTGACCTAGCTCATTAGGGCTACCAGGGCCCAGGTTCTGATCCTAACTACTCCAGTGACATCAGAGTTCTAGGAAAGTCTCTTTTTCCTGGGGTCACCCAGATGGCAGGAACTGGAATACTACTGACAACCTATCAAGTCTGCAAGAGGCTCTAAGACAGTTCTAACCCCAGCAAGAAGACCCTGAGGTATTAGCACAACCCCTGCCTAAAGCTCATCACACCCACTCCTGCAATTTTCATTTGTTGGCCAAATTTTTGTCATTAAGTGAGTCTGAGGACTTCTGGTATTTGAAGCAGAAGTCCTGACTGACTGAATCCATCTCTGTGCCTATATTATCACAAATGGAGCTCTTAAGCCAGCTTCCTGCCTCTTTCCACATGGTTAGTATTCAAGATCCTTTGTACTAAAACCCAGCAAATCCTTGGGGGACTCCTTACCTACAGGGAGAGAGGACTCCAGGCATGGCACCTAAAATCCTCATCCAGCCTACCCACCTCAAATCCCAAACAGGAATGTTTCAATGCACTCTCCTTATTAACCTTGGAAATGTGCACAACCTTTGTCCCAACAATTCCACTTGTTACATCCAAGTTCAAGCAACAACTGTGGTCACAGGGATGGACATACACACATGCATGCACACACACACACACACACACACACACACACACATGCATGCACACACACATGAACACACACAAACATACACTATTGACAGAGAAATAAGAGTAACTGCAAGATTGTTTATGTGATCAAAATATTCAAACCTGCTGAAGTCCAGCTACCACAAGCTGATTAAGGATGTGAGATTCTGTCCATAGACCAAGAAAATACCCACAGATTCCTTCTTCCTGGTTATATTCTTTTGATATGACCAAAAGCAATTTAGGATCGCAAAGGGCTTATTTCACTTACAGGTCACAGTCCATTGTGGAGAAAATTCAGGGTAGAAACTTGAAGGAAGGCCCGCTGACTATTTAATGCAATATTATCTCTGACCAGGGAACCCACTCACAGCCAAAGAAGTGCTGCAGGAACTATGGAGGATGCTGCATGTTTCCTCACTCACTGGCTTGTGTTTAGCCAGTTTTCTTATGCAGCCCAGGGAATGGCACTACCCACAGTGGGCTGGGCCCTCCTGCATCAGTTAACAATCAAAAAACCACCCCCCATATAGACCTGCCCACAGGCCAACTTCATCTGGGTGACTACTTAATGGAGACTCTCTTCTCAGGTGGCTCTATGATGTATCAAGTTGATGGTCACAGCTAATCAGGACAGGCACCAATAATTTTTGTGACATGAAAAAAAATGCAAGATAGTAAGTGCAAACAAACATAAAATGCAAAACAAAACATGTGTCTGCTGTGAAAATCGTTATGTAGGCAGGCAGAGCCAGCTTTCTCACCCATGGAGGGTTCATGTTCTAAAAACCTACAGCTTGCAAAGCCAGCTCATGTATATTACAGGACTGAGAGAAAAATAGTAATGTGGCATTAAACATGCTTTGAAAACACAGCAAATGAAAGCTCATGGTGGAACTGGGGTGACTGCTAAAATAGCATCAGAGCTGCTGGTGGTGGATTGCCTCTGGCAGTGCTGGGCAGGACTGGGGACCCACAGGCCATGATGCTCCAGCTTGTACTATGAGCCTCAAAGTGAGCAGACTCTGGGGAGAAATCTGGCTGGGATGAACCATGCTCCAGTTCCTGTTCCTTGTGACTGGACTAGAGAAGGTAGGAATGCAATATTCCTGCAGGCTCAGGTAGGTGCTACAGGGAGAGTTTTAGGCCAGCTGCTTTCCTGGAGATGTTTGGTCAGAAGGAAGAAGCTCTCTCCATGGGTCCCCAGTGATGCAGCTAACACTCTCTGAAATGCCAGCCTAGGCCAACCTGACTAGAGCAGACACTAATAGGACCCAGAAGTTTTACCATGTGAATTCCTGCCTATATCCTAAAGTTAGACCCAGACACCATCATGTGAAAATCAGGCCATGAGACTAGAGGGAGCAAGCATTCAGTGAAGACGGGGGAATCCAAGGGACATTCTTTAGCCAGAGAATCTGCAAATGCTCACAGTTGAGTTTCTTCCACCTCCTGCTCTGCCTCTGCACCCAATACAGTAAGCAAGCTGAGGACAGATACAGGGCTCGAGGGCAAACACATTCTGTAATGCTGAGAACCGAACCCAGAGATTTGCACATCTGCATGTGCTTTACCATTAAGTTACATCCCTAGCTGACTCCTGGATGCCGTCTTCTCACTTCTGAGTGACAGCACTTAGTGAGCCAGCAACCCTGACATACATGAACATCTTAGAATTACATCAGGCAAAACCACACTTGGCAAGAGGCCCCAGTGCCACCAACCTTCATGTTTCTGAGCTGGGATTATGAAAAGTTCTTTTCTTTTCTTTTTGAGTAACCTGTGTGTTACTCAAGAGATTTAACAGTGGACACAAGAGAATGATGGCTAAACTTATTCTGATTCATCTTGGGGCGGTACCTGCCTCCCATTAGGAAACAGCCATGCAGACAGTTCAGGAGGCAAACTCACCTGGCAATGGGCAGCCTAAGATCTCCATCCTCATGCAGATGCTTCCATTATCAAACCAGGACTGTGGATTTATGCGAATGTAGCGGGCTACCATGGGGACCGGCAGCTCATTTAGTACAGGGATCTCCTTCTCACTGTTTCCTTCAAATATCTATTGATGCTCAAGGGGAAAGGAAAAGCTTTTTAAGATCTTCATCATAAAATTCACCCATTACTATCAAGGAGTACCTATGCATGCTGGTAATCAAGGCAAAAAGGAACAAATCACCCCTGAACTTTGCCTCAAAAATCCCCTATCTCTCAGTCTATATCATGAGGGTAAAAGGATGCTCTAGAGCTCAGACTTTTAGAAGGAGGCAGGCCAGCCCAAGTTTTGGAGCAGAGAGAGGTTCTGTTTGTCCCAACAGTGAAGGAAAACTACTTGGACTGGTAAGAATGGGAGGAGTTCTAGAGGCAAGGAAACATTAATGGAGAAGCCCAGCGGTGGGTTTGATAGGTAGACCAGCTGGCTCCATTCTGCTGGTGCACAGGACAGTAAGTAATGTAAGTACTTACAGTCAGTAAGAATGAGACAGAAGGTAGAAGCAGGGCTACAGTCCGTGTGTAAGATGCTGGATGCCATGCTAGGAATGGCACTTGAGATTCTGAATTTGAGAGTAACAAAACTCCCATGCTGAAGCTAATCATGCGAGGTGGCTCTTGGAAGTGACAGCTGTGAGGGTCCCCAAATGCAATGTGGTAATTTATAAATGGGATTAGAGGCTGCATCCTAGAAGTATGTTAGTTGGAACAAATGAAGAATTCTGCATCAGCCCCAGCTGTGGGCCACTAGAGGTTGGGCTTCAGAGCAGGAGAAAGACTCTCAGACTCTCCTGGTTGGCTTGAGTTTACACAGACTAGGTAAACCTCCCCAGGGATAGGACAAAGCCCCATGGTCAGGTACCAGTGGTATGGGTAGAGCAGGGAGGGGACTCACCATGTCACCAGATCCATTCTTCACAGTAACCCATGTATGGCTGTCATTGCTCACCATGACTTTGTAGGATGTCACCCAGTCACTCCTGTGAGAAAATAAAACATTACTGGGATTACATACGTTAAAATGTTCACCCTTCCATTCTGAGATGTGGAAGGAAGAACACATATGCTTTATTCAGGACTGGGTCAAACCCTGATTCTCAGAGAGTCCTGAAGGACAACATAGATTCTTGTCATTGCTCTTGATTGCCCATTACAACTAGATAATAAGACCCCAGTGCTGAAGATACCACACGCTTTGATTGCAGAACATAAAGAAACTGATGTTGAACCTTCTAGATAATGTCTTCGCTCCTGGCTAGTCTTCATAGTACTAGAAAGTGCTATGCATACACTGAAGGAGAAAAGACATCAGTAGTCTTATCAAGCACTGGACCATGCATGCTAAAATAGCAACTTTCCAGGCAAGATGTGCCCTCTAGTGTAATAGTGGCAAGAATATTTTTGGGCCTAACCAACTGCTTTCTAGTTGCATTTGAAACCTCTGCTATAGAAGGGCATCTGTGCCTGGTACTATAAGCTAAATCAAAAGTTCATGGTTATGGAGGAACCTACTGTTGTTATTCTGCTAAGAAACCATGTTGTCAGACAGCTTCCTAAATATTTATGCTTCAGCCCATTTGTCTGTGCTGTTCTCAACCTTGCTCAGAGAGGCTCCTTTTTGCGGGAGGCAAAGGTGAATACAGACTCCTCACTGGTCAGAGTTCTAGGAACCAGTCACTCCGAGTGCTCAGCCCTAAATGAGACATCTATTATCAACTAAGAACAAGGAACGTGGAATGTAAGAGCCAGAGAAGGGGGAAGAGTTCTGTGACGTGTCTCCTGGACAAGATACAGCTGTATTACTCCTGAATTCACAGTGATGCGGGTTACCAGCACAAGATCAAGCCACTCAAAATCCTAGTACAGACAGGGTAAGGGCTCATGTGGCTGTGGGGGACCGAATATCCCTGTTATGGAATATTCCGGGTTCAGGCCCTGGCTGACATAAACAGTGGTGGTGCCAGGAAACTCCGGCCCACTATTGTATTGGTAATTAACACCAGGCTGTAACTTTACCTGGCCTGTGAGTAATATGCCTCTTATTTTGCATCTGTATATGCCTAAGCATCTGAATAGGCCCTCACCTGGGCGGAGGGCTAGAGATAGGGGAGTAACGGATAGGGACAGAAGGAGAGGAATAAGCTGGCAAGGGCCAGAGGGAGAGAGGAGGACAAAGAGAGAAATGATTGTCTCGTGGTACTAGCATGGTGGTTAAGGGACACCAGAAAAGACGGCTAATAAACAAATAGCTCTAATTCCAAAGCATGGAACTGAGAGCTCTCTGAAGATGACAAGATGCCTGTGTTTGGTCTTTATCGCCGTCGGGTTGCCGGGAGCTTCCAGGTTCACACACCCCCACTCAGGTAGAACCTCATGGCTGTTGTGGGTTAAAGCTGAGGCAAGTCGGGCCACAACATGTGGCCCTGTATCTAGCTGAAGAACTAGTGGCAGCCAATGGCTGCTGTGGAAGGAGTAGTCATTTTTCTGGTAGGTTCCTCAGTAGATAGCCTACACCCATGCTCATGCTGGTGGCACTGGCAGAACTCAGCTACACAAAAGATGAAAAAGAGGACATGAAGCTGTCAGAAGGACATGTTAGGGAGCTCTGGGAGGAGTTGTGGGGAGATGAGGAAACATATGGTCAAAATACATCACATACATGTATGAAATGCTCAAAAACTAAATAATTATGATTGAGAAACAAAAGTAAAAGAATCCTGGTTCCATGATACTTACTGGTTACACAACTTTGTCCTGGTAACTGACCCATCTGTGCCCCTCTATGTTATTGTTTTGTTTAAAAAGAAGAAAAGAGAAATTGCTGAGACAGACATATTGACTATAAGTTTATTATAAGGCAGAATGGGGAGACTAAGAAGAGGAACAGGGTAAATGGCTAACCGCCATGGCCTGTCGCCATAGAGAGACAGAGCGGGGAACATAGGTGGGAGAGTAGAGCGGGGGAACAGAGAGAGGGGACAGAGGAAGGGAACCGAGAGCACAGAGGAAACAGAGAAACAGAGAGCGTAAGTGGGCAGGGGCCTATCTTTTAAAGGGGTCCTCTGCACCTTCGTGCAGACTTCTTTCCCATGGAACCTTGGGCTGACCAGGGTATTGCCTGAGTGGATTCCACCAGGTAACAGGGGCAGGCCAGCATAATGCCTGAACCTTTCACTCTGTGCAAAAAATAGGATTGTGAGACTTGAAAGGTCTAATGCCCTTTAAGCACGTAGGACAATTCCTAGCCCCTGGTCACACATAAAGATAAGTAAAAAAGAGCATATGTGTTTGTACTGAAGTTATATCACACACTGTAGAAACTTGATGGAGTCCATGAGGGAAAAATAATCTCAGTGAATGCTGCAAATTATTCTAGAAATTTCACTTGGGGAAATTGACTTGTGAATACAGCAAACGAGATCCAACCAGCCACAAAATCAACAGCTTGAAATTATGGGTTTCTCCTTGTCTGTCATAGCCACACAGACATTCCCCATCCCAGTAAGAATCCAGTAGGCTGGACCCAAAACCAGAACCCTGTCACCATCTCCCATTGTATAAAAATTACTGGGAACAAAGCAACCATAATTTCACTTGCTGGAATGAAGGCCAATCTGACAGGCATGGCAAAATCAAAACACAACCCAAATAGATTTTTTTATGTTGTTAATTGTCAGGTGACATGGAAAGGTCATTCTGTGCATGCCCCTTCTTGAAACCTCAAATCCTGGCAGCAGCAGCCTCCTACTTTTCTGTCTTTTCCTCCTGTAGGTCCACTTGCTCTCAGGTTCTGCTGCCAGAAGGTTCTAAACCAGTGTTTCTCCACCTGTGGACTGTGACCCCTTTGGGGGGGTCACATATCAGATATTTACATTATGATTCGTAACAGTAGCAAAATTACAGTTATGAAGAAGCAATGAAGTAATTGTATAGTTGGGGGTCAACACAGCATGAGGAACTGGCTTAAAGGGTCACAGCATTAGGAAGGTTGAGAACCACTGGTTAAGCTTTCGGACTGGGGTCAAATTGCTTAGAGAATTTGTTCAGGAGCAGCTTGTTTTGAGGTGCCTCTACCCATGTTCAGAAACATCCCATACCTTCTCCTGTTGTGCCCTCCCCACCACCACCTGTGTCCAGAATCAAACAACTGTCCCCATCCCCAAAACTGCAGTAATCACACCACCAAGCACTCCAGGCTGGATCCAGGAATATAGAATAAGAAGCCATGAGCAAGGCCTGCTGGGAATTCAGTAACACCAGCCTGCAAAAGTACCCTCACCCCCAACAGCAATCTGTTCCAAATTTCAGTCATTTCCAACAGCAGCCCCTCTTTGCCTACCGACTATTTTTTGGCTGCTAATGCCCACCCAACACCAGGAAGATGGACTACAGGAGGCAGGGTTTGTCCCAGTGAGACAAAAGGAATGAAGTTAGGACACTCCATCAAAGGAAGTACACAAACAGGAGGGAGGTAGAAAGGTAACTTAGTAAGTTCTCCAAAGAAGAGAAGCTGGGCCTGTGGTCTGGTACTGCAACCCCAGCTACTTAAGGGGCTGGAATTAGAAGAATCAAGTTTCAGGCTAGTCTGGACAATTTAGTAAGACTCTGTCCTAAAAGAGAGAGAGAGAGAGAGAGAGAGAGAGAGAGAG